CGGGGCGGTTAGTTGTGAAATACACCCGGGCTCTGTCGGAGACCGGTTTTGAGGAGACACGAGCCGTGCTTGCCGCCGAGGAAAGGGAGGGGAAGGCTGGCGATCTCCCGCCGGGAGAGCGGGGGCCGGGCAGGGCTCAGCGCCCCGCGCTTCCCCCGCCTCAGGGAGAACCGCCCGTGGGCTTTTGGTTCACAGCCACGAAGGATGAGGCGAAAAAGCACCGTTACCGGGAGAAAATATCCGAGTACATGACCAGAGCTGAAGACATTAAAAAACACATTGAAAAAGAGAAAGAAGGTACGGAGCTGTGATGTACCCCTTCGCGTTTAAGTACCCGTTGTTATGTGAATGTTTTATGGGCGAGGTGGTTAACACAGGAATTATGTCGTGATCTTTTCTCTTCAGATGGCAAATACCATAAGCAAATCAGGATAGAGGAAAACGCAACAGGTTTCAGCTACGAAAAGCTTTTCCAGGAGTACCTTACTGAGACTGTTTCTGAAGTTTGGGTGGAGGACCCGTACATTAGGCATGTTCATCAGGCAAGTAGATATTCCGTGTAACTGATACAGATGTAACTACTAAAAAAATTCCAAGTTACTAAATTAAATAAAACTTTTACAGTTATATAACTTCGTACGATTCTGCGAGATGCTAGTTAAGGGGCCGTGCAAAGTGAAAACAATCCACCTTCTCACTTCCTATGATGAAGTAAGTGTCTAGACTTCGGTTTCTATTTCCCTGTACTTGGGTGAAACCACATGCAAATATACATATAAAAAATAAATTTATTTTTAAATACAGATTTGCTTTTGCTTACTAGTACTTGTTAGATTGAGCCGCTGATGCCTTCAGCAGAAAACACAGATTAAGAGAAAAATAAAAATGTGATAGTCAAACATAAATACTTTTATAAGTTTTCTGGTAACTAACAAATTCTTAGTAAGTAGAATCTTAATGGAAAAGACATTTTTGTGAAAGTTTTGTTGTGGAAAATGTCATCAAACCCAAAGCATCTATTAAGATAGGGGTTTTTTTCACTTCTGAAAGCTGTATATAGTTGTCATTTTAGAGGCTTTGATAAGCTAAAACCTCTCAAACTATCACTGCATTTATTTTGGCTCAAATAGTAATTCATATCTAGTTTTAAAGGGCTGAGAGTGAGCTTCTCCTTCACAGGGTCTAGAGCACAAGTCTGATGGGGAGCGGCTGAGGGAGCTGGGGGTGTTTAGCCTGGAGAAGAGGAGGCGGAGGGGAGACCTGATCGCTCTCTACAACGACCTGAAAGGAGGGTGTAGCCAGGTCGGGATCGGTCTCTTCCCCGAAGTAATGAGCAATAGGACGAGAGGAAATGACCTCAAGTTGCACCCGGGGAGGTTTAGATTGGCTATTAGTAAAAATTTCTTCCCCGAAAGGGTTGTCCAGCATTGCAACAGGCTGCCCAGGGAGGTGGTAGAGTCACCATTCCTGGAGGTATTTAAAAGACGTGTAGATGTGGTGCTTAGGGACATGGTTTAGTGGTGGACTTGGCAGTGCTAGGTTTATGGTTGGATTTGATGATCTTAAAGATCCTTTCCAACCTAAATGATTCTATGATTCTCTCCCTTAGGAAGTGTACCTGTAATCTGTCTGCTTTTTATCCTGTCTTTGAAACTGCGAATCTGCCTTCATCCAAGTTACTTTCTTTTGGTTTAAGTTATTACTAAAAAGGTTTTGCTGGTGAGTTTAGGAAGAGGTGATGAGAAGTACAATATACGGTTAAATAAAAAAACTCACTATGTTATTTTTATTTTTAACAGGGTAGTGGGAGGAGTAAGCAGGTAAGCGGCTTGGAAGAAATACAACAATCCTTGAGGAATTATGGAGTAACACTGAATATTGCATTTTCGTCTTCAATACATGATCGAGAAATTAGGTGGGTGCTACCAAAAATCAAGTGAATGCCAGTTATTTGAAGGCAAACTACTCAACCCTAACTTTTGAGCTTATTTCTAATTACAGCTGTGGTTAACAAAGTGGAAGGCAGTGGCCTTCACTGGATAAAATTAGCCCTCCATAGTTTCATGTGTTCTAACTGCAAACATCATAGTAGATGTCTCTTTGTACAGAACAGTGTCTTCCATGGTTCATACAGGTATTGGTGACACTAGGAAATAATTGTGATTGAAACAAGGAGCTTGTGTGTCATCTGGATGTAACTATTTTTTCATTCAACATACTCATAGCATTCAAATTTGTGAATTTTTAAAGCAGATTCAACAATGGATGGATGATTAAGATTGGAAGGGGTCTTGATTATTTTAAGAAACCACAGGTAAGAATTCTTTGACCTCTTTAATTAACTTACAATGTAGAAGAGCTCATTCTATGTTCACCATGTCAATTCTGTTAATTTCTGCAGGGTCATTTCAGCATTGGATCCTGTGACTTTGACTTGCGACGTTGTCATGAAACAACAGTGGATGTCTTTCATATTAAACATACAAAGAAAATGTGATCAGATAGACTGCTTTTAATGAGTGTTTTTATAAGTGTAAAGATGTAAGACTGGAAGATGCCGCTTGAGTCCAGCTGCCCACCTCAGAAGCAACTCTTCTAAGTACTTAGTCCAGCTAAGGTTTAAGAATATTTGAGACTTTTCAGTCTGAGAAAACACAGCTATACAATTCCTCCACTGTACTTCTCCCATAATCTTAATTTCACAATCCATGATCTTAATTTCACAAGACCCTCAACACTGTCTCTCGAAGGCCTCTTTATTGTCATTTCTATTTTTAGTATTAATTTTGTCTTGAGCAAATTTTGAGTTTTGTGTCTTTAATTGGCCACCTCACAAACATTTGAAGCTCGGCTGCCACATGCCCTCTTTATAAGCAACCTGATTTATTTCCTTTAATTCCTGTCATGACTACTGTTCTGCTGTGTTTTGGTCAATCCCACAATACCTGATTTCACAGACATTACTAGTAACCCTAAATCTAACATTCCATTTTCCAAGCTCCTTGCAAACATTGTAGTGTTCAGTATACAGACATTTTAGGGTCGCCTTATGTGTCTCTGCATGATGGATTTTGGGATGGAAAGGATGCAAACAGCTGTATTCTTTTCCCTGTCACTCCTATATGTTCTTTCATTCTGTGATGTATGGTCATATACCTAATTTCCATCCTTTGCATTAGGTGTGGAAAGGGTGTATGATCCTCTCCCAGTCTTTTTCCCTGACTTGCAAGTTTAATCTCCTTCCGGCTACTCATGCCAGTCCCAACTGCAGTAAGCTGTTTCCCTGCTACTAAGATAGTCCCCTAAAAAAATAATTGATTTTTAAATTCTTCAGAAGTTGGATACCCTGAAACATTCTTGTTAGTAGTGATTCTAAGGAATATGCGAATTGGAAAAAAGACAAAGTCCTTTCTTGTCTTTCCTTCAACCTTTGGAAACCAGAAGGTATCACCTGAGCTGCTGCTGGTTTTTCTTCTTATACAAGAGTTTTTGATCATTGTTAGCAATAATCCAGCAAAGTCTCATATTCTGATGTGAAGAACGGGCAGTGACCTCTTTTGCAGGTCCCAACAAAATCTTCGCAGCCTCAGGACTGATCGGTGCCTTATGCTTTCTGCATCTTGTAATACAGTATGCCTTTATATTCCAGTAGCATGTTCATTGCTAGAACTTTTTCTATCACCTGTATTTCTTTTTCCTGATGGTTGGTGTATTCCATTATACTTTTTTTTTCTAATTTGCTTTATTCTTCTTTCACCTTCTGTCATCTAATGCTGCTATTCTTTTACTCTTGCTTCTAACACAAATCTGTTCCACAGCTATCAAGAAGAAACAGAGTGGGTCTTTGCCTTGTTCTCTGGGTCACAATTTTATTCTTTTGCTCATGCTTCGAACACAGCAAATCTGTTCCACAGCTATCAAGAAGAAACAGAGTGGGTCTTTGCCTTGTTCTCTGGGTCACAATTTGCCAGTGGTTTGCCTTCTTTATCCTTTTGCATAATAATGTCTCAGCTTTTTAGTGTTACATCAGCAAAAAGAATAACATACGTGCCGCAGAAGCTGTATGCTACCAGCTGGTCCTCCCAAACGTTCCACAGAAGCTCCCTGGCTTGCTGCTGTGATACTAGGTTTCTAGTCACTGTTGTCAATTTTATTCACTTGTGTATAATATATGCCTATTTTTAATGGGAATAAAGGTTGTTTTTTATTATTTGTAGTTTTAGTCATCTGTTTGAATTCTTCTTGGCACTACATAGGGTAATTCAAGGAAGGTGGGCAATGCCTTACAGATCAGCCATGTTTGGGAGGTTCACTGTAAATATCGTAAGCTCCCGAAATGTTAAGCTTTGTATATTTTTAACCTAGTCCAGCAATTTCAAACATACAAAAAGCATGCTGCAAAATAAGTTTAATCAACCTGACTTTTTAATTGTACTCTATTCTTTTAAATATATTATTTTGTCTGAGTAACTTCGCTTAGCATTAGTTAACAGGAGAAGGAATTCCAGGCTGCGTATTGTAAACTCATCCGTGACCTGGTTGCTTGGCTGCGGGGGCCTTGAAGAAGATAAGGAGGAAACTTTGTCAGCAGAGGCTGCAACCACCTAGGTGAGAACAACAAATGGCCTGTCAGGAGTTCGGAGGCAGAAAACCAAAGAGAAACAACTGAGCCCCCAGACCACGGGTTACCATTGGACCAAAAGGTGCATGAAGGGTGCATGAAGAGGGAGTGCATAGATTGTAAGACTGTTTAAAAGCCCAGGCTTTCTTTGTTTCGGGGTCTCTCCCTGGAGGCACCGAGCTCGAGCTGTCATTCTGCTGTGCCATCCAAATAAATTAATTTTTTTTCGAAGACTGGATGGCTGAGACTCTGCTACAGGAAACCTAGGGCGAAAAGATTTCTTTAACAAAGCAAAATAAAAAGTCACCTTAAATATTTTAGATGAACTTTAAATTTTAGTACTTAATTGGAAATCAAAAATCTTTATGCTTTCTGCATCTTGTAATACAATATGCCTCTCTGTTCTAGCAGTAAGCCCCTATGATGTGGTCCTCTACAAATACCACAAGAGGCAAGCATGGTCTTCCCTCTCTTGCCTGTTCAGTGCTAGAACTTCTCTGTTTTCTAATTAGACTATAACTCACTAGCTAAGACCGCAGATTTCCTTGCAGATCTCATGGATATGCAGTATCTGTACATATGTACAACTTGGCCTTTAGTGACATACCAGTTGGCACTGCACTGCAATTTTTACCTTTAAGCTCTTTATCTCTGAATAGTTCCTTTCACTGTCAGTAGGAACACCATGTATGAAAAGCAATGGGCATCAATGAATGGAAAAAAAAAAATTATCAGAGGAATCTAAGAGTACAGTTCCACAATCATTTTACTGACTCCAGACCATGTTCCCTGCTGCCACTCACAGTTACATAGTCAGATCATGACCTGGGTTGTGCAGCCAGGACTGTCCGTCCTGGCATCATCTGTGGAGATGAGCTTAAGCCACCTTCCCTGCTGGCGTCACTGAGCATGGTTCAGTCCTACAGCGTGACTGCCAGTTCCAGCCGAGCGCTGGATTCACTCCCACCGACTGCTCTCCTTCGCTGAAGGTAGGTCGCTTCTGCCACGTTACTTTCTCCTGCTGAGTGCTGCTCACCCAGCCATCCTTTGAAGAGGGCAGTGTGCAGGTAACAGTAATGCCTCATAGGCCTTTGCAGGCCCCACTTGTTAAGAAGTATTTGCAGCTAATGGTCTTGTTTGCAGGATTTAATTAGCACAGGACTGAAGTACTCATAACAGGATATACTGCCTAGGGCTTCCTAATCTGACTGTCTTAGACCCTCCTTATTTGAAGCATTTCAGTCGCTGCTGTTACTTGTCATATCCTGCTCGTCCGACAGTTTGGTGAAGAACAAATTGTAAAACCTAGCAGTATATAAACTCTGTAACTGTCTCAGTTGGGCAGAGTTCCTATCGGCAACCTCCCACTTGAAATTTAACTAACTCCACTATTCAAGGGCAGTTTGGTGAAGAAAGAGTTGTATAACATAAAGGTATATAAACTCTGTCACTGCCTCACTTGGGCAGAGTTCACATCAGCAGAGGCTTGCTCTCTCCTGCTCTGTGTTCTCTCCTATAGTAATAAAACTGCTGCTGTTCTGACCTCATCGAAATTGCATTCCAGTTATTCCATGACAATTTGGTGCCGTGACTTGGATTCAAGTGTCCTGCCTCGCCTGGGAGCACCGCAGACTGATCCCTGCCGAAACCCGCTTGGAGCCACTCAGAAAGGTATGGGACCTTTCAAATCCCTACTGGAGCTTCAGCCAATGGTTGTCTGTACGGACAAGGACAGTGGAAGTCAGAATGTCCTTACAGACCTAATCATAAGGCTTTTAAGTCCAGTAGGATTCAGCCACCCTGACTTTCCACCCAATTCTTCCCTCATGCCACAGCCTCAGAAATGTGATTAGGACAGCCCCAAGGCCATAAACATCATTGCTCCTTTACTTTCTTTAGGCCAGACTGGTCCTTATTTATCTTGCCCTATTAACAGCAATATTGGGTTTTGCCTAATTGATATTGGCATTTCTTGGTCCTCTTTATGTGCCTCCGATTTTCCTTATCTTTAGTAGTAAATACTGTTCGTATTTCAGGACAACCCATATGTCATCCAGTAACAAGCCCTTTGTAACTATCCAACACATTTCTGGATACCATGCTTTCCTTTTAATTCCTACCAGCCCAGTTAACCTTCTGGGAAAAGACTCACATAAATTTGGTTGTGCCAAATATTGTGCCCTGAATGGAATTTACCTTGATGTACTCGCACCTTAACAGGGTCAATTTATGGCTTTTTTGCTTGATGAACCTCCCACTTCAAATTTAACTAGCTCTACTATTTGAGGGCAGTTTGGTGAAGAAAGAGTTGTATAACATAAAGGTATATAAACTCTGTAACTGCCTCATTTGGGCAGAGTTCACATCAGCGGAGTCTGTTGCTGCTGCGCGGAGTTCTCTCCTACAGCTGGAGCAATAAACTGCTTCTGTGCTGACCTGATCAAAATTCCATTCTGCTTATTCAGCAACAACAGTGAAACACATCTTGAGCCTTTCTTTCATGTTACTTTATATTGAGCTATTATTTTTATTTAATATGAAAACTGTCGTTTTCAGTTCGCTACTGCCTTTCATTAGCAAATTTTCTCCTAGGTGGTAACATAAGGAACCTGTTTCTCCTAGATTTGTATTTGCAAGTGTATTTCCTAATGCAGAAGAAGTATTCCGACTTTTAGCTTAGATACCAGTACCTATGGCAGCAGTGACTCCCGGCTTTGTGCCAGGCAGTGCAGGTACAAAGGAGGCACATATGGCCTCCGTCCGAGTTAGCCTCTCCTGCTCTCATTACATAGACCCCGCACTGAACTTCCTAATCCTTCCCCTGCTCTTGCACATGCATGGACAGAAGCCCTAATCCAGGGTGGAACTGCTGGACT